ATCAAAATATTGAAGGAAGTCCCTCTGCCCTTTTTCATAAACACGTTGTACAAACTCGAGTTCGATTAAAGATCGATATTCACTGGTAGTCACTTCAAATCAATTTTCACTATCCAATTACTTACACTAAAGTTTGACGCGGCCAGCGAGTTATTTTGCAGAAACTTCACGTTCAAACTGGCCACGTGCGCGAAAAGTAACAAGATCAAGCCGAATGTCCATGTTTCCCGCGATACGGTTCGTCGGAACATCTTCCGGTTAAAGAATGCAGTGAAACGTCACGATAGGTCTTCCCATTCGTCGATGAAATTTCCTAGACGCTCTATGTATTCACTGAATTTTCCATGATGGTGCATTCTATCGTGTACCGGCACACCTTCCACTGTTTCGTTCGATATCTTCTTCCTTCTTCTTCTTCTTCTTCTTCTTTATATTTTGCCCCTAGATATGGCGGAGAGGCTGCAGTAAATCGAGTGGACGTGGTGCAGACGCTTTCACCGCGCTTCTACGAAGACGTCAGACTGACCGAGACCAAGACCAACACCGTGTGTTCGACTCGCTGGCGAAGAAAGTTCTTTCACTACGTCCTGTTGCTCTTCCCATTCAGTATGCGACGCCGATCGCACATGATCCTCTCGTTTCGAAATTGGCAAGATGGACGTGGCCGCGTCGATTCGTGTCACGCGATTCTTTCGGCGCTTCGTAATTTTTGTATTTGATTAATTGAAACATCTCGTTAATTCTCGTTAGAAAGGTGTTTGGTTAGAATTTAATTTTCAATTAAAGAATCAAAGAATAAAATGACAATCGCTGTATTACAGATCGTCGTGTGTGTGGGATTGAAATAAAAATTTATTTATATATTAAATATACTTTCTTAAATTATGTTCTTTTATATTATGTCACACGAGTAAAGAATGTAGAGGATACTTTATTTTGTAGAGTTTGACAATTAAAGTACGAATCAAAATTGAAAGTATGCTGATTATACAAATTAATGTATAAAAGTAGAAATCGAGAACTTGAACTATTATTTGTCATTCCAATGGCAATTATATTCGGTAGAATGTTAGAATTATTTAGCTGTTGGAAATTAGAAACTCGAAATATGCTCCTCGATCTTTCGAGGCCGGAAGTTGAGAATTCCAGAAAGAGATTCTTCATAGAAATGTCCACGCCTCGTAAAGTATTACATTGTCCAAAAATTTCACAGTTAATGCTTTTTGACTATGCGAATATATTCGGTTTCGTATTTGATATTGCAAACGAATCATTTGTCATGAATTTCTCTTAAATATGAAAGGAGAAATCGGAATCGAAAAAAATTTCGTTTTTCAACGAGATCGCGCTGGACGTTCGCTGGAATGTTTAATCCCATTTATTTCACGGAATGTGGCACAGTGTCACGATTATTTATTCCCCTGTTTTCATAAAAATATTTCCAACGAATGTTCTCATAAAAATATCCCCAACGACGAAAAAAATTGGATGTTCGTAAGATTTTTTAAAATTACAATATTAAAATAAACAAATTATTATATAATATTATATAAATAATTTAACGAACAAAATAATATACTATGACATATATTATAAATAATTATAATATTTACATGCAAAGCACTTTTATTTACTTTCGTATGACTATAAAGATTTAATATAGAACTTGTTAAAAGAAACGCTTTGTATGAAAATCTTGCAATCACCGTATACATTACATCTTTTTCGCCAACAGTGTCATCTGAAGACACGTACTCTCGAGATAGTTTCCTCGCATTACTTTTATTCGTTCGATTCGATTCGATCACTCCGCTCGGTGAAATAAAGGAGACACGCTTTCGGTGGCCTTTCAAAAAATTTCTCTTTTAGTGGCAGGCAGGATGAACGGCTACGTGGACTTGTATTTCCATCGTTGACAAATGAAATCGCACGGCGAGTACGAGTTTTTTTCATGGGGAAATGTTATTAAAAAAGTTCCTCGTCCTTGCTGGAACGCAGTCGGAGCTTTGCTTTTAATTCGTGCCTGTTCTCTGACCGTCACGTGCTTTTTACAACGCGTAATAACGGGTTTCTCTTTTCAAGAATTTCTATTACGTCCGATTTTGAGATTAGTGCCCTGTGATTTCGTTGAGAACGACTCTGCAGAATAAGTTTCTAAATGAAATTGTTTCTGTGCTTTAAAGAATGAGACTGGCTCTGAAAATTATATTTTTTTAGGTATCTTCTTACTGTATTATATAAAATATATAAATTTTTTATCATATCCTTTTAAATATTCTTCTCTATGAATTATTTAATAAAAATCTATATTATTATATATTTTTCACGATATTGTGCCTTGATTTCCTTTAACAGACATGACCTTCAATAAATTTTCAGATAATGAAATTAAAGCTCCGAGTATTTTATTCACTATCACGGTAGCCTATCCTGACTTTTCACGTCGTGATAAATTATTAGAAGATTCAGGGAGGTATCACGTTTAAAATTCAATAACCCAAAGAATAGAAAGTCAGAAATCTCTCAGAAACTGAAGAAAAACTTTCCTTATTATTCGTAATAAAAGCGAAAGAATAACCGTACCTCTTGCAACAGATATTCCATCTTTATTGTAATAAATGATGAACGAACTTCAGGTAAATCTCAAACTACTTTATAATTCAATGATCCGAGAAGTCAAAAATCTTTTTTCAACACCGTGAGAGAACTTTGTTGAACTTTGCGAGTTATATACAATCTATATAATAAATAACTGTGACTAGCAATTTATCATCTTACACCTCTATATTGTTACAACAAATTTTTATCGTTTGACGTGACGTAACCGTAAAATGACAAATTTTATTTAGTTATTCGAACAGCTCTTCCATTTCGGGAGGAATTAGGAGTCGCTGGTAACGACTGCAGGTTTCACTAACCCAGATTCACCGTTGAAAGCAAAACGTTACTGACTACTGACCCGGTTTCCCTTATTGCCCGTTCATCTCGATCGAGGACTGCCTTTTATCTAACATCTCTTGTTGCGACGTTCAGCCGTACATATTCTTTTCGAGGTATCTTTTCAGCAACCGTTAGTTTTTACCGGTTCACTCGTGACCGAGCATTTTTTCTGGTGATTGATCTGCATTTCTTATGATTCACCGTAAGATCCATGCGTGATTAGGTTCCAAGTGAAAATCACGCGAAACTTG